AAGTCTATATTCCCTGTATCCTCTTGATTGAAGAAAACACGTTAGACAAAAGCATTTAGAGTCCTTCTCAGCTCCTTATCACTAAAACCTATCACGAACTGGGACCAATACTACTGATCTCCCGTGGAAGTTACTGGGTCTGTCCCTGCGAGCAAAGCATGTAGAACTAGGCACACTGTCTGTAATGACTCTTCCCTCCTCCAGAAAACTTGGGAGAACTCCAACTGGGTCTGTGCTCAAGAAATGCCCACAGGATATAACTGCTAAGTGAAAAGGTTCCTCAGTATTTATATGAGCATTTAAATAAGCTGCTGACCTCTTTCAAGGTTGTTTCAATATCATAGTAGTTGCTACTCTGTTTACATCCATGGTAATGCTCTACCCTATTGTAGTAGGTCTGCAGTAAAGCAAGATTTACTTTTTGTGAAGGAAGGAAAGACTGTATTCTCATACTCCCTTTTCAAGGGTCAAATTATTTTTATGTCACTTAAAAGTAATACAGAAGCACTGGTTCTGTTGACAGGAAAAAGTTATCCTGTGAAAAAAAACATGGTGTTAATGCAAGTCAGAATTACAAAGCTACATTTCTGCAACATCCTAACAAGCTTCCTCGCAACAATTTCCAATAATATTCTAGAACTGACCTTGCATATAAACAGTTTGCAAAAGGAGAAAAAAAAATCAAAAAGAATAGATTTCGGTGTTGAAACACAGTATGTAGTCTTCTGACTGCTAATTTACAGGACTGCTTATTACCATTTTAACAGGAAAAGCATGTAAAGTTCTTCTCTGTCAGAGCAGTATCCTTAAATAAGAGAGAGTTAAAAGTCAAAGCGAACTGAGTTTAAGTGCCCCATGTAGTATTGGTAAACTGTTGAGTTTTTTAAAAAATAAAATATACATATGTGTTTGTCTCTACACATATATACACACATATACACACACATATACATAGAATCATAGAATCATTAAGGTTGGAAAAGACCTCTAAGACCATCAAGTCCAACCATCGACCCAACACCACCATGCCCACTAAACCATGTCCCTAAGTGC